TATTTGTTATGTGATGTGTGAGCATTTTGGCAAATTCAGTAGTTCACAAGTTATTCACCTCAACCTGGCTAGAACTACTGACAACCTAAGAAAACAAGGAGCAACTTTGCACCAAGAGCTGGTGAATAGTATCATCGTCCATGCTCTTCTCTCATCGAAGGTCATCGAGGCAGGATATGCTATTCTATCTGCCCACCTTAGCACACATAAGCACGGTCATCATCACCCTAGACCCCGAACCGTCCAACTTATAGCCCGCTCGATGATCCACATATCGTTACACTAAACACACTTATATTAGGTATAAGCACTTGAGACTTATTCATCAAGCAAGGAAAAGAAAAGGAAACAAAACAAAAATAGGGGAGGCCGGCCCACTTCTAAAATCATCCGAGCGAAGGGGCAAAACAGCAAATAAACTGGCCTAAAAAATGTTTGAATCCTCCCAAAGTAGCAATTGAATCAGCCCCCCAAGACGAGCGCTTAAATCCCCTTCCAATCAATACTTTAATCAGCAAAAAAAATAAAAAAGCTTTAAAAGGCTCTAAACAGCCAGCAAAACATCCCCAAAAAGGTGCATTTAAAGGCTCCAGGACTGTAGCCAAATCAGCCCAAAACATCGCCAAAAAGGTGGATTTAAAGGCTCCAAACAGCTAGCAAAACATCCCCAAAAAAGGTGCATTTAAAGGCTTTAAACAGCCAACAAGACATTCCAAAAAAAGGAGGTACAGAATCATTCCAAACAGCAGGTAATCAAGCCAAGAAAAAGAAATCAGCCTTTGAGTCATCTCGAAATAACAATTAAACCAGTCTAAACCTTTCAAACGAACTCATCGAAGTTTCAGAATTTTCACAAATGAAACCGTCAAATTTCAGATTTGTATGAAGCCAACCTATATAAATTTCACGTTCTGAATAGATAAGCATGTAAAAGTTTCAGATTTTAGGTGGTATGTACGTAAATATAACACTTTAAGCATGAGAATATAGCTAATTACAAGAATCATCAACTCCAACTAGTCAATAATATGCACATCTTAGTTCAATAATACCTGCACATGAGTTCTGCCTACCTTTAAACCAGGAAAGCTCAGCAAAGGCTCATATGTCAATTGCATGGGGTTTAAACAGATAAACAAAATAATCCTTAATTACCAAAGATTTAAAGAATGTTATTGAAAGATTTACATATATACAACTCAATCTTTATGTGTTATATATATAACACCTGAACTCTCAATTTTCTCATTCATATTACTCTTTTCATGAAAAGTTGCATTTCATATTTGCACCTAAAATTTGCCCAAATGCTGAAATAGTATTAGCATAAAATAAGAATGAATGGCATAGGCCTACATGAATGAACACCTTAATATTTGTGGCATACCAGGATCATATAAAGATTTAAACACATTATGAATGATTTTAAGATATCACATTAACAACATAAATTGAATACATTTTACCAAGCTCGACTTTGAAATTTAGACAATACCCTCAACATCACTTGCTCAATAATATGAACATGCTCCATCAACTTGATTAAATTAAATGAGTCCTAAGTATAAAAATAATCTACACAGATCTCTTTATAATTGCGAAACACTTTACTGGGGGGAAATCTAATGTTCTCATATTCCAAAACAGTAAAATGCACTAATAAACAGCAAAGCAAGGGGAACCAGTTTTCTCGCATTAAAAAAAAAAAAAAAAAAAAAAAAAAAAAAAAAAAAAAAAAAAACACAAAAAAAAAAGAAGCAGTTGTAACTCTTCTTTACCCATTAATAAAGAATTCATGATGCAAGTTATATGGTACAGCGAGGATATCCAAAAAAAAAATAGATAAAGTGCAGAAAGAGGATATGTGCACATGTATATATGTAGAATTAAGATTCATAACTTAAAAGTATTCTGAACCATGATTCACTGGGCCAGAACATCATAACCATTTAAGATCCGAAAGTCAAATGAAGATTTTAATCAATCTTTTTGAAATTCTCTAGATTCAGATGATTTAAAAAACGAGCAAGGTTGAATGCACAAACCAGTTGAAGAAATCCCTACAAATTTGAAGAAATCCCTATAAATTTGAATGAGCAAGAAAAACGAGCTCCAAAACCCTTAATCCAAAGGCTTCGAGAACACAGGAGCGAATGCACAAACCAGTTGTGATCCAACGAATTGTCAACAACCAAAAACTCATCCCCAATTGGTTTTTTATAACCAAAGAGAGAAGAGAAGGCAGCTCATGACCTTTCGAAAAAGGTATGCAGATATTTGAAGTAGCACGGCATCGGGACGAAGGAGATTTTTGGCTCGAGAGGCGTTGGGAAGAGGGAAGGTCGACTGACTGGGGCTTCTTGTGAGAAGAGGCGTTCGGCCGATTAGGGCTCGGGCGAGAGAAGGGGAGAGATCACGAGTTTTGCAAACGGGAGAGAGGGAAGTCGCGTGCGTTAGGGATATAGGAGAGAAATAAAATTGCTTTTTTTATTATTATTAATTTGATAATATTTTATATTTACAATTCCCAATCCTCGCACTATTCGTTTATGCACAAAACTATTTCAAAATGGGTATCCCTCATAGGTAAAATCGATGTTGCGTACGCACTCACGTTACCCGTTTCGTCATCTGAGATTGTTTAGATTAGTTTTTTTTTTAATCGGGCCAAATTCAAGTGATAATTCACGCACTTTCATGTGCAAGTAACCCAAGCAATATGGGTGTCCTTCCTATGTCTAATCGATGTTCCGGACGCACTCGTGTGGTCTGTTTTGTCGTCTGGGGTTGTTTAGATTAGTTCGTTGACATTAGGTCAAATAATGCATCAAATTTATTTTTTCCTTAATTTTACTTCATGATTGATCATTTTAAAATTTTAGAAACCCTTTTTGAGTTTCACCATGTTGGTCTCAACCATCTAAGTGTTGGTGATTCAAAACCATACTTGTGAGACCCCCAAGAGGAGTCAAGAAGTGGTTTGAATTTCTAAGCGGGGTAGGTCCCAACACTAGGGTTCTAAGATGGTCAAAGAAGTGGTTAGAGCTAGATCCTAGGCTCTAGGAAGAGGGAAGGAAAGACCTCATAAAAATAAGGTCAACAATTGATTGATGGATTTGTTAAACCAATTGATTAGTGGATTTAATTTAACTGTAATATAATTTTACGTTTTGAGTTAAACTTTTTTTTCATACCAAACCAATAATATAAATCAAATAACCCTTAAATTGGAGCAAAAATAATCAAATCGTGATTTCATCAATTGAACCAAATAAATTAAATATGCTTTGTTAGGTCCTTTGGTTTAAACTAATTAATGCACACCCCTACTATCGATGAAAATAATCTGGAAACCGGTCTTTAATTTTGAAATCTAGGATTAAATACCCAATAGAAATGAAATGTTGTCATACATATATTAATGGAAATTTGTTGTCAATGAATTGGTGGATTTCTACAGATTAAAACCTGCTGTGTAGGGATTGCTAAGCTGCTGTAAATGGAAGATGATGGTCACAGGTTCAGGATTGTTTCAAGTGTTATTTTAGAAAACTTTCCCTCTTTCCATGTTGCTTAAATAATATTATATATACTTTGAAGAACTATATCTTTTTTCTTTATTTACTACACCTTTAGATAGTTTTTGCTTAGTTTTATTTCCTTTAAACCTTAGTAGTATTTTCTCTCTTTTTTTTTTTTGTAGTAAAAGCTTTTTTTTCTTGACTTTTCTTGCCTTTATTTTTTTTGCATCTCCATGGGCCACCACGGCATCTCGTTATACAATGCTTTCCTGGGCCTTTTATAAACTATCAAAATTTTCTTATTGCAGCTATCAATTTATCCCACATTTGAATTTCATTCAACTATATGTTTCCAATTTCCCTGTATATGATTTCTCGCTCTTTATGTCCCGTCATCTTATTCTTGATTTATTTCTTTTAATGTTTTATATTTCTAAGTTATGCAGCCATGAATGCCATTGTTGGTATATCTTACAATTTTTAAAAAAAGATCCCTTTTCTTTCAAGTAAAAGAGACATTTTATGATTTTTTGTTCAGTGTTATTGCATCTTAAATTATTTTTGCCATTGCAAATTTATATTTTCTACAGAAATGTTAGGTGAACTTTTTCCATTGAACTTCTGTCCCCTATTTCATGCCTACGGTCATAATCCATCATATCAGAACGTATTGTCCGTTTAAGTCATCTCTGTTATATGTCTTCTCTGCCAAGTATAGGTCATTGTTGACACTGTTTTTCTTTTCTTAAATTTGTTTAAAATTATTATCTAATCCAATTTGACAAAAATTAGTATTAATCATATTTCTATTGTCATTAGAAATAATTAATTTAATAAAAATCACTCCATGATTTTTTGTTTTTTAATCTTTTAAACTCAATTTATTACTATCTCCAGCACTTTCATACTTTTAACCATCAAAAGATAAAAAAGCTTATAATTTTTTTGTTTAAGCTTTGCCAACTTGTGAATGCTGTCTATCCTTTATCTTTGAGCCTTTTCGGTTATAAAGTATTACACTCCATGTATTAAATTATCAATCTTAAAGTTGAGTGGACATGGACAGTTTGCGTAAAGCGCGAGTGATACTATTATAACTATCTTACTGGTGCTAAAATCTTCTAGATGCTTAAACAGATTTCTTTCATGATTTGGCTATTTTATTCTTAATAGTGTAATGTTGTTAAACCATTGATTATTATGCTGATTGATGTGAGTTTATTCAGCAAATTTTGAACAACAGTTTCTATAATCTGTTTATCACTTATAGTTTTGTACTTGAAAAATCCATGAGCTGCTATACATTTTTTAGGAAACTTGTAGTTGAGCAAATTAAACATGAAAAATAGATGACTCGGTTGATAGAGAGGATAGTAGAGATGGATGCTTAGTCACCTCTTCATCATATTTGGCATTGTTGAGTAGCTAATTTTTTAGTGGAAAATTTTTAATATGTAGTTCTTTAAACATTTTCATCAGGAATTTCTTACCAACGAACATGGCAGAGGTGTTGTGGCTGATGCTTCAGGTTCAAATCCAGTTGTTTCCCTGATGACGCGTTGCAATGATGCAGCACCCTTAAGTTCTACCACTTGTCAGCTGGCTATAGCTGACAATGAACTCGATAGGCTCTCACCTGTTCGATGCCAAGGGGTACTTTCTTCGGGACCATTTTGTTCTATTGAGCAGACCGGAGTTTCAGCACAACAAACAATAGAGGAGCCTCCCATCCTTCAGATCCCAGAGAGTACAGTGCATCCCCAGCGGCTTCAAGATTTTTTTTCAGAAAGAATACCCTCCATGAATCTTAGAGGGACGGGTATTCAACAAGTAGTTGGTTCTGCTGATTCACTTTCTTCTACCGTACATACCATAGTTCCAGCTCAACATAGAATTTTGGATGTAGTTGCGGAAACCGGTCCCTCTAATCACAATATCACTGATAATACCCTTAATCCATCAACCTCTCTGGAAGATGTGCCGTCAGAAAGAGCAACCTCTGAACACCTAAGAAGCACTGGTGTTCAACTAGATCAAGGAAACCAATTATTTCCAAATTTTATGTCAGCAAGCTGGGCACCCGCTCAAGCAGTTTTTGCAGATCCATTTCAGAATGAATTGTTCAGAATTCGAAAGCAAAATGATTCATGTAGCAAGAGGCATGAAGATAAGGTTGCTTCTTATATCCATTTGTAATTAAATTTAGTCTGCTTGATTGATATTGGCATGCTTCTCTATATTCACTCTTCTGAATGCTATTCCTTTCTTATCTGCAGAAAGTACGACTCCAGGTTGAGTTTGAACGAGAAATAGAGAAGTTGAGAAGGAAATATGATTCTCTACTTCAGGATGCTGAGAGGGAACATCTTCGTGACAAAAAGATGTTTCAGGCAATTTATGATAAGGTTCTCTTGCATAAAGTGTTTGCCGAAGAAGTTCGGTTTAAATTTTATGATCACAAAGAAGGGATGTCAACCCCATTTCGAGGTCTGGAACTCATACACAAGTAACTTATTCTATCTCGCAGTTGCGGTTCTTACCAGCTGTTGCAGGTTTAGTTGATAACACTTAGGGTTGTTTACATACATACCACCCAATTCCAATGTATTTACATATCTAACACCTTAACCTTGCTTTTTCACATTTATATCACTCAAATCTTTCATATCACATAAAAAAAAGACCGTTGTTTTAACTTAAAAAAAATGAAATGCACATTTTCATCCATGGTTCAGGTGGCATATATGTAAAAATTGTATAGTTCAGGTGTTAAATATGTAAATACATATGAGTTTAGTGACATGTATGTATTTCTTCCTAACATTTACTTTTTCATGCATGCTATCTTGGGATTCATATGCATTATTTTAGCGTCATTTTGCTGATATGTAATGCTATGAAATAGAGAACATAATGGGCCATGTCTCCTGCGTGACTGAATGCTGGATATAGCCAAATGGATGCTAATGTTGTTATTCAGATATTTAACCAACTAACTTCAGTCTTTACCATTCTGCCTGAAGTGCTCTCTTCTCATCCTTTTTTTTTTGCTTATTTTCTATTCATCAGATTGGCACGAGTTTTTGTTCAAAAATTTTCCTGATAACCCTACACAGAGTGCTAAGCTAAAGTTACAGATTAGATGAGCCCTTGCAATTTTTGTTTTACATTCGCAATACTAAATATTATGTTTTTACTTCTCAGGTCCAAGCCTGAATCTATCGCAGCAGCTTCAGACAACACTAACACCATCACAACCTCAACTTCCCTTCAGATCATCCTCAATGCCCCCTTCCATACCAACCTCAACTACTTCTCATCCTGCACCAATAAACATAAATCAGGATTCAACATCGCCTCTCCCTACTTCCATCAGACCCAGAACTCGTATGCCATCTTCATCTCCAAACCATCTCACCGGATCATCCAGCCATGCCTCCCCAGTCTTCTTGAGCACTGCAACCCGAGGGACTCCACCCCGAGCAAGCCTGCAAGTTGGCCGCTCGCCCGCTCCTCATCTCCAGCGCTTTAGGCCCAATTCGTCGATTCCCACTTCAAGCATTCCACATACTCCATCTACTAATCAGCAGTCCTTGCCAGCTTGCCAAGTTTCGACCTCATCGCCGTCGGTGGATTTGGGTTCCATATTGCCGCCAGCACTAATCTCAACGCAGCCATCCATTCCTCAATCTTGTTTGAACTCGCAGCCTGCGAATTCTAGGCCTTCACCCCCCTTTTCCAGCTCACCTGTAGATCAGTCAACCCAAGATATGGAAGCCGACTTGTTAGAATCATTGCTGTTAAACCTACCTGCAATGAGTAATGAATTCCCTACCTCAAGTGCGGTTGATTCGAGGCCTAATGCCTCGCCGGACATTATCATCTGCTTATCAGATGATGACTAATTTACAGTGCAGAGGAAGAATGCAGGATGGCGTGTGTTACTGTATATATATATATATATATATATTTTTTGAAGTGTTCTTCACTTGTTTAGGAGAAGCATCGCCAGGCCGGAGTTCTAAGAGATATGACTAACAAAGAGTTTGAACCGTGCCAGCAATCTTAGAGAGGTTAAGATGGTCTGGTTAGTGGTCTGAGTTGTTGCTTAGAAAGCCCTGTTTTCTGAGGTTTCATTTTTGTATATCAGAAATACTGAGCATGAAAATTTGTTGTAAATCTCTTTTCCATTATTTTATTACAAATGGCTATAATATTCGGAATTCTTTTCTTTTTTTTTTCTAAGTTATTTTTAGGAATTTCTTTGAAGATGTACTGTTTTTCCAATCTTAAATGTATTCGATGTCTGTAAAGAATTTCAGCTGCTTGATTTCCATCAATTACTTGGAAGTAATTGCTGATAGAATTTATGTGGAATTCCTTCTTCTTGTTTTGTCTTTTTTTGTTTTCCCCCTTCAGAAGAGAGATTTTTGTTATTTTATGAACAAATTTGTAGTTGGAGAGGTACGAGCGAAGATTTGGGACTTGTGAGTAGCGGTGTAATTGAGCCCAAGCTAATTCGTGAGCAGATTTGAGCTCAGCTTTTTTAAGTGGCTTATGAGCTGGGCTCGATGAGTTGACAAGTCAAAGTTTAAGTTAGCCTTTGGCTTGACTTGATAGGCCGTGAGCCAACTCATTTAAGAAATTAATATGGAATAATTTTTAATTATTAAAATTTAAGATTTCATTATTAAATTATTAAAATTATTTTAAAATTATGTTTTATATTTTATATCTAGAGTATTTCTTGATGATTTATCTTCTAATTGTTTATTTTATGTTTTTTATTATGGCATTAGCTTGAATTGATGGTGAAAAATGTTGGCCTATAAATGTTTATTATTCAACTTATGCTAAGAAAGGTAGAGGTTGGTTTAAGAAGACTTGGGCATGTTATATATAAAATGCTCTTAATTTATTAGATTTAAATAAAAATATGACACTCAACGGGATAATTGAGAAAGATGATTTTTGTAGCCAACCTCACTTAATGAGATAAAGGTTTATTGTTATTGTTGTATTGGTTTAAATTGATATTATTTTTTCATCATATTAAAGAAGTTGGTGTTGAGCTAACTCTAACTCGTAAATTAAACTAGAGATGGTTTAATTAATCAATTTTACGCTTATGCCAATGGTTGCTTGAGCTCTACTCAATTCACTTACACCTCTACTTGTAATTGGTGATTATGAATCTAAAACAGTCCACGAGAAATATCTAAGGAATAGTGTGTTGTAGAGGAGAAAAACAAAGAGAGCACAATAGTGTGTTCTAGAGAAGAGAAACTCAAAGAAAGAACATTAATGAACAGTAAAATTGCATATACTTTATTCCTGAAATGAGCACTCCTTGAAAAGTGATCCTCCTATTTATAGTTCGTGGGTCAGATTTGTAAGTTGCATGGTTATCCCCTACTAAAGAGTAGAACATTACTGTAATTAATGAGTTGTTATATTCACACATTTGTAATTGAATATTATCTATTCTGACCCCATAACCAATGCTAGTGTCACTATGCTTTTGCAACTGCCTTGAATGCTGCTTCACATTTATAACTGTCCAATTTGGTTACTTGGAGTTCATTCGCTAGGTCGTGATTCATTCGTTTAACCTGATTCATTCGGTTGACTCGAATTCATTCGTTGTCTTCCATGATTTTCACTCGTCCATTCTATGGAAACTGAATGTGAAAATATATCGTCGAAGGGTAGGATCATTTCATTGGGCAGATAGTAAAACATCATAATCCGACAAGTAATCTACATTCAATCTATGTGTCAATACTGAAGTACTTTGTCTTGGGCCACCACTAATTTTTACGATGATAGTTACTGGGTGGTTGGTGCTGATGCGGCCAAGTGGTGCACATCGGGTCCTTCATTCTCTTCATTCTGTCGTCCAATGAGAATGATCAATCATTTGCACAAATAATCCATGTCTTTCATGTCTCCAGTTATTTCTTCTCGAGATTCGTGTAGACACATTCTTGATATGCATATGTAAAATTTATAGTTGATGTGTTAGATATGTAAATATATAGAGTTTGAGTGGCATGTATGTAAATAGTCCAATTATTATTTGATTTTAGAAATTGAAATGAGGTCGTAGGTAAAATTGTGTATTTTATTGTGCTTATATTGATGCATTTATTCAGACGTAATGATGCGCATCTAATAAATTTATTATACCTTCATTCAACTCTTTTAATTCTTTTTTTAGGGTTTTTTGCTTTATTGTTGATTTTTATATATATTTTTATTTTCTGGCTGTTAAAGTTTTAATTGTATTTCTTTATATAATTTTTATTTTGATATTATTTACCTTCGTTTATTTGGCAGTTAAAAGTTTTAATTTTGAAATACACATTTTTTTAAAATTTTTTATTTAATTTTATTTTATTTTTGCATATATTAGTGACACAAAATTGGTACAAGTGTAAATATCACACTTCAGGGGTTAGGTATGCAAATATATAACAATTGTGTGGTATGGATGTAAAATTTCTACATAATAAATGTGTGCCCACCACTCCTAGAAGCTCTTTTGGGAGGTGACAAGTGGTATCAGATCAAATTAGTGTGTGTCTATTAGGTGTGTGGACTTTCCATGGTCTAGTGAGACCGTCGGTGGAGCTGATTCATGACGAGGGTGTCACGTGATTGGGTGGAGGAGAATGCCACGAACAAAAAGTCCCACATCAGCTAAATGTAGCGCCGAAAATCAGTGTTTAAGCCCTGGGCTACCCACCCACGCCTAAGAGCTCTTTTTAGAGGTGACAAGTGCACTTACAATATCCATCTTTTCACTACCCAACATTCTATTTATACTTTTTTTATTATTATTATATTTAATTTTGAAAATGATGGTCATCCAAATAATCATTTATAAATATGGCAACTTAAGAGCCTCAAATTAAGTTGGGAAATTAATTACTGTCTTTTTCAAGCAACTAAATTGCAGGCAAAAACCGGCTTAACAGTCGGTGATGTATCATATACCATTAATTCTTTCATCTAAAATATTATCATGCAAACCCTTCACTTTTTCAAAATATCAACACAATATGAGATATTCTTCACATACAAACCATAACAATTCTTATATATTCATGTATCTACCATCTAAAGTTTGATATTTACACTTATAACACCATGGTGACATAAATATGTGCATGAAAAGATATATTTTACTTTGGAAAAGATAATAATAAGGCATTATTTTTAATGAGATGATAAAAATTTAAATGACATATATATGTAAATATATAAGCTTATGTATTAGATATGTAGATACATAAGAACTAAGTACGTAGAATGTATGCAAACGCCCATAATACATTGTTTTCATGATTATAAATGTATGATAAAATAATGTAATGGACTTAATCTAATTAAACATTGTTTTCAACTTAATTTCAATCAACTTTCTAAAATGATAAATCTAATATGAATCAAAATAATAAGTTTTGTGAGATTTAAACTAAATTTAAAATGAACTTCAATCAAATTAATCAAATTTCAAAACATAATTTCCCAACTTCAAACTATCAAATGATGCTCAATATGTCATCCTACTAAAGTTTTAAAAATAATGAATATTTGTCATAACTTTTTAGCTGGTGATTAACAACTCAACACTAAAAAAGTCAGCAAATAAGGATTTGACATGCCCATCTACTGCCCCCACTTGGTTAATAGATAAAGCTTAACTCATCAAATTAGTAAATACACGGTACATCAAAAAAATGATCACACGAATCTCGAAGAAATCCAATGGGTCTTGCTTACGAGCACCAAAGGACAGTGTATTGAGATAGTCAAAAAGACGAAAATGATAAGCGTCGTTTCTTTCGGTTGGAACTCTGAACTTATCGAATGGAAGCGCAAAAGAACAAAGGACTAGAAGTCACCAAATTCGAGCGACAGTCATTCATGATTAACTCGCTCAGCCGATTCCAGAATTTCACATAAAGATGACCAAAGGATACCCACCTTTTCGATCCTTTGAAAAGACTTCTTATCAAAGGAAGGCTTCTTCCTGGTGGCCCAAGTTCGCCCCAACGATGAAAGGGCCTCTATTCAGGATTTTATTGAGGGCCGACCGATGTCCTTTCAGCCGACCTAATGCATGTTGGTAAATAAAAGTTAAAAGAAATGTGCGAATTCATTTGAGAATAAAACATTAAATAATAGCAACAATATGTGTCTTTTAATTAATTTTCAGCTACCTAACATTTTCGTGCGGCCACCTAACTTCTATTTAGACCACAAGACCTACTTACAAAATCTCCTTTTTAAATTCGGTCATTTAATTTTAAATAAAAAATGGACATTTACATACATACCAAACAATTCTTATGTTTTTACATATCTAACACCTAAAAAATTCATATGTACATGCATACCGCTCAATATTTAACATCACATCAAAAAAATCATAATTGTTATCTTTTCAAAGATGAAATGCACTTTTCTTCATTTATAAATTGCAGAATGTGGTATGTGTAAATATCAAGTTTTGGGAGTTTGATATGTAAATACATGAGAATTGTCTGGTATGTGTGTAAATTTCCCAAATGCATAGTTAGACAGCCAAATTTGAATGGACAAAGCTGAGTGCTAGCCCTCCCTCTTAGTGTGGTCATTAGTAGGGGTGTAAACGAGCTGAACACGAGCGAGCCCAGTCATTAGCAGGGGTGTAAACGAGCTGAGCACGAGCGAGCCCAGAGTTTATATTTCGAGCTTAGAAGGTGTGTTTGTGTTCGGCTCGTTTGCTTAGCGGGCCGAACAAGAGCCGTTCATGAAAAAAGAGTCGTTTTGACAACCCTAATCAGATAGTCATAAGATGTTAAGGATTGAGGCAATTATTGTTTATATTAAAACATCATTTGAATCTAATTTAATAAATTTTATTCTATTTTCTTAATTAATACTTATAATTGATTATAAATCTTTATAGCCTTGTAGTCAATTAAATTTTTTTA